GAGCAGATGTGATGGCTTCGATCTTGTTGATCCACGGTCGGCCTAAGATTTCGTTGTAGGGGGAGATCTCGTCGATGACCATAAAGGGTTGCGAGCAGACCACCGGGGGTGAGTGGATGTCAAGGTCAATCGTTCCCACAGTGATCGATGTGGCCCCATTGAAGCCGGTGAGTGACCTAGCAAGTTTGTTGATCTTGGGCTCCAATCCCATCTGTTGGATAACAGATAGTTGCAGGATGTTGGCTGCGCTTCCCTCATCCACATGAACTCGCTCGATCACAGCTTGTTCAATTTGGATGCAGATGACTAGGGCATCATTATGTGGTAGATCAAGCCTGATCAAGTCCTTCTTTTGAAAGCCGATGATGGGTGAATCTTCAATGACTGGATCGACAGTTAGGACTTGGGAGATATAAGTCGCCTGCGGGATCTTTCTCTTACGCTTCTTGGTGGTCAACCCGGACTCCTGGGAGTCAGCTAGAATGGTGTTGATCCATATGACCTTTTGGGGAGGTTCCTTGGCAGCCGCATCACGATCCTCGATCTGCTGGATGGCCTTCTTTGCAACGAATTCTGTGCAATGGCCGTCTCTGACCAGCTCCTCAAGGTGCCTTTTCCAGGCGTTGCAGCTGTTTGTATAATGACCATGCTCCCCATGGAATGCGCAGTATTTACTGGCATCCCTCTTAGACGGGTCTCCCCTCAGGGGTGGCGGTCTCCTCACCCACGACTTGTCCTTCACTTGTGCCAGGATTTGGTGGATTGGGATAGTGAACTCAATAAATGTTCCTGTTTCTGAACCTCCCTCTTGGGGCCGCGATCTGCACTTGTCTTGGGCTTTATGCTCGAACTTGTTGCTTTTTTGGCTTGCCTGCCTTGTCGGGTGATCAGCTTGCTTGCTGGCCTTCTTCGCCGCAATACGGTCATCGTCCCAAAGTGCATAGCACTCTGCCGTCGCGAAGACCTCTGCCAAGATTTGGCTTGGAGTTATGGCCAGCTCACGGTATAGCTCGTGTTCGGTTGGCAAGCCTTTCTTAAAAGCTGAGGATGCCACTTGGTCATTGCATCCTATGATGTTAGCCTTCTCAGCCTTGAACCGTCTGAGGTAGTGTCGAAGAGACTCATCTGGTTTCTTGTGCAGGTTGAACAAGTGGTCTGCATGCTTTCTGACCGTCTTGTAGGAGGTGTACTCCTTTATGAAAATGAGGGCGAACTCCTTGAAGTTGCCTAGTGACGCGGACGGTAGAGTGTGGAACCAATCTTGAGCTGCTCCTCGCAGAGTCATCGCGAACACTTTGCACATCAGGGCGTCGTCAGCCTTGTACAAGATCATGGCACTCTTAAAGTGCCTCAAATGGCTCTCAGGGTCGGAGTCTCCCTTGAACGGAGTGATGGATGGTGTTGTGAACCGCTTTGGCGGTGGAGCTCGTTCCACTTCCTCGGTAAAGGGTGAGCAGTCGACTCGATCAATTTCCTTGTGCAGGGCCTCATCCGTGCTTCCTTTAAGTTGGAGACTTTGGAGTCGGTCATTCACCAACTTCTCAACATCTTCTGCCCGCAGGGCTGGTGGTTCGAGTCGATGTCTTCGGTGTCTCGAGCGCCGCTGGTCAACTTCCTCCTCGGTTCCCAAGGGTCGATCCTCTTGGTTGTTCTGCCCGTGGGGCAGATTAGGAGATTGAGCTTGTGAGGAGTCCTCTACGGCTTGTTGCCGTGTATTGGTCCTCGAGTGGGCTGGTGAGCATCGATTGTTGCGCTCGTCACGCGATTGTTCACGAACTCGAGCTCCTTGTGAGCCCAGC